TTTTGAAAGTAACTGCGCTTTTAACTGCGCAGTTTGATCTTTTTATGTAAGTTTGATGGTCTATCCGACCCTTTTACCTACTTAAAAATAATAAATATAAGTCCTTATATACGCTAACAACTATTATTAAAAACTAGATTTTATATAAGATTTATTGATAATAAGTTAACATAATCAACCAACGAAAACAATTAATATAACCAACTATTTATCAACCGCTATCACAATCAACTTATAGGTAACCACTAATTTAATATTATATTGCCAAAAAACTAAATCAAACTAGACTTAAACAAATCAAATCATATCAGATATCTATCACACCAGACCAATTCCGACCAAATCGTAATTAAACAAAACAGATCAAAGCAGATCAACTCGGATTAAATTAGAAGAAAAAATTTCAATCCAAATAAAAATATCTAATCGCTTGTGGGTCTGGTACCTAAGGAATTTAGGCGTAGCAAAGTAAAAAAGTATGGTAAACATCGCAAGTTGGCAGGGCCATGTTTCCACCGTCCGCCTCAAACGTCAAAAAGTCGACTTGCCACTAACTTATACTCCATATTTAGTATTGACTAATAGGAAGTAAAAAAATTTCAATGCTTATCTCTTGAGTGATCTATATGTGATTGATTGATTTTTCTTAATTTAATTGTTCATTACATATACGTACATATATTAGCATACTTTTGTAACACGAATTAATGTTGTTTGAGCAAAAAATAATGAAAAAAGTATAATTGTTTTTAGATCTCAAGACTTATATGATGTGAATAACAATTGTTGAAAAAGATGTATTAACATTTTTCGCAGACAAATTCAACATCGCTATTAGCGCAAACTGTGCGAATTTGAAAATCGAAACATAAATTTGCAGTGTCATTAATAAAATACGAAACACATCATTCTCATGTGGAACATGCTTTGCATGCAACACATTTAATCGATTTAAGTCATCACTTTATCATTTATTAATATTTAAATTATTTCATTGTAATATTTTTAATAGGTCTATGTAGAGAAGATACCGTAGCCTGAAAGTATTGTAAAATTTGCCATAGATAAAAATTACCTATATGTATGTTCTCTAATTTAAAGCGACATATTTTGTATTAAAATAGTATAAAAGAAAAACACGCGTTTGGTACAATACTCGATTTCCAATTAAGGCAATGATAAATACATGATTATATTAAAATAAAAGTAATAGATAAAATGTGGTATTGCCTTTATATTTTAGTGACTGTAACAGTAATTTTAGTAATACTAAAATGATGTTCGACTTTACATTATGATGATTATGATAATATAGTTTCAGTAACTTAAATCATATATTATTTATCGCTTTTATTTAAGTGATTTTTAAGAAAAAAATCATTTTAAAAGAACAAAAGTTTGAAACGGATGAAATTGTTTGATCGAGAGTTATGTTGGCATTGGCAATGTGAAATTGTTCTTCTCCTACTAATGCTAGAGGCCGAGAGTTATGGTCGCTTCATTTTTTTTAGCTGAAACTTCACAACAAACATAGCCTCGTGATCATCATTTACCAAAATTTGAAATGTGTGTAACCACGTGTGCATATTAATTAACCTGCTAACTAATAGGTCAATATAATGGATGAAAAACTGATTTTGAGAAAAAAAAACTGATTTTGAGGTTCTTGAAAGTTGGAGTGATTATTGACTATGAGAATTCAATTGACATTTTTACTATAACATGAGGATTTTAACAATATCCGGATCTATTTGATAGATTTTTTTAATTAAAAATTATGATTACAAAAATAATAGAGGTTTTAAAAAAACACCAAGATAAGTATATTTATAAAAAATGATTAAAGTTACTATGTGTAATGTTATGCTTATTTAAGTACAAAATTGAAGATAAATTACTGTTATTAAAGTTACTATTATAGTTACTAGCTATAATTAAGAATTTATATTTGTGTAAACAACTTTTACTTTAATTAGATGACCATTTTTACAAAAATACCAGAGATTTTTACATAATGTACATTACCAAAATAAATTTATTAACAAAAAATCATTAAAATTACTATGTGTATAATGTTATGCTTATTTAAGTGTATAAATTAAACATAAATTACTCTGATTAAAGATACATTTATAATCATTTCACTTAAAATATGCGCGTTTTCTCTCTCTCTAGAGTTGGCGCAAGGTAACACTTAGTTTCGGATTGTCCGCTATTGGCATAGCCGAGGAGCGGGGCTAGGGATTCCCGGCCTTTTGTGCCGCACTAGGCAATCGATTTTTGGAAGGAGTTTTTCGGTCAAGTGGCGGGTAAGGCCCTACTTTTGATTCGGCAGCTTCGAGAGGTTCTGAAGGGCGCACCAACGGGGAGGAATAGCAGGTGGAGGTTTATGCACCGACGGGCGTTTTCAACAAGAGAGGAATGACCACACACAATAGGGACTCTTTGTTGATGAAAAGGTTGGTTTTGATTCGGGAGTTGATTGTCTCCAAATTCCCCTCTATATCCATGAGGCTTTAGTATATCTTGGCAAGATAACTATTGATGGGAGATTATCAGCATGTAAGATGTTTGACCTTCTTAGGATAAAGGGTACTCCGCACCCTTGGATGTCTTTCATATGGAAGTCATATATACCTCCCAAATTTTCTTTCATCACTTGGTTAGCCTTTCATAATAGGCTGGCCACGTATGATAATTTGGGGTATCTTGATGTGATTAACATTTGTCCCTTTTGCAAGGGTGAATCGGAAACGGTATCACACCTATTTTTTTTAGTGTAATTTAACAGGACAGGTGTGGACAACGATAAAGACATGGCTGGGTATTACAAGACAAATGACTACGTTGCGGAGTGCTGTCAAGTGGATAAAGGAGCATAATGGTGCACATATCAAGGCTAAAGCCGTGAGGATATCTTTTTGCTATACTATATATTGGATGTGGAGAACAAGAAACGCTATTTGTTTTGAGGCAGCAAAGACCAAGGTGGAAGATATAGTACACCATATAAAGTATATGGTCTATACAGTGCTTTACTCCATGTATCCGTACCATATGATTTCATTATGATTTTTGCTGTTTCGTCACCATTTTTTGTTTGTGATGGCTAGCATGTATATGTAGCTAGATGAGTTTTGGTGGTGACTGGGTATCCTTGCTTGGGAGGACCAGTACGTGTTTTTTTCTATTGTACAAATGTACATAAACACTTTGGATATATATATATATATATTTACAGTTTATCCAAAAAAAAACAAGAGAGGAAGGAATTTGTTTGCATGGAAAACATTTTGGACCGATACAAAAGGATGGCGATTGGCGTAGAGGATGAAGAGCCCGATCTTGATGACACTGATCTTGAGGACTCACCGGTAGAGGAGACCAGACCGGAGTTTCCGGTGGTGGGAGTTTTGCTGACAGATAGGAAAGTTAAATTTCCAACTTTCAAGGAACTCATGGCATCGTTATGGAGGCTGGGTAAGGGGATCTCGATTAAAGAAGTACGTTATAAGAGGTATCTCTTTACTTTTTATTATCATGTTGATATGAAACATGTGTTAGATGGTGGCCCTTGGCAATTTGAGCGTAATTTGCTAATTTTGAAAGAAGTTAAGACTGATGATATTCCGCATAAAATTTGTTAAAATGAGGCTGAGTTCTGGGTTCAGGTTCATAATGTTCCCTACAGGCTTGTGAATTTATGTACGGCCAGGCGGGTTGGAAATTTATTGGAAAATTTATAAGATATGATGATAACCAGTATAGTGAGAAGTGGGAATCTTATGTGAGAGTTAGGGTGAGTATGAATGTGGAAAATCTTTTTAAAAGGGTAAAAATCTTAAGAAAGGAGGATTGAGTTATTGGGTAGACTTTAAGTACAAAAAGTTGCCCAATTTTTGTTTTGTCTGCGGGTTAATAGGGCATTCAGATAAATTTTGCCCCCTTGACTTATGAAGAGGATCTGAACCTGGAGAAAATTTTTGGAGTTCATCTTAGAGCAGCTTGTAACGGGGTGAAGACAAGTCCTACATGAGAAAATAAATGGCTGGTGGAGGGTTCATCTAGCTCTAGCAGGGATCGTAGGAGCATGGGGGACAACAAACTTGATGGTAGAATGGAAGGAGGGGGGAAGGAATCTATCTCAGAAACAGCGCAGAGCACAATTAAAGGCTTGGAGGTTGAGACTAATGAGGAGGCTTCGGGAGAACAAAAAAGAAGACGTATATAGGTAGCCCAGGAAGAGGACAAGCTTGTGGGGAAGAACATGGTAGTAAATGGAGCAAAAAACGGGGAGGGGGCGGGTTTTGACTAGTAAGCCCGCTGAAGCTGTTTCAGGCAGGACCAGGGCAAAGGATTTGGGAGCCTGTGTTGCTTGGGAGGCTAGGACATGAGTTTTATGTTTTTAGTTTTGTTTTAATTTTTCGAGACAATGTTCTTTGTTGTGTGGTTTTTCGTTTTTTATTTATTCATGGTGTAAGACTGTGGATTTGGATGTGGGTGATAGAGGGATTGAGGTAACCGTCTTTGGTTCATTAGTGCCCATTAATGGATCAACGAGTTATATTGCTTATGTTGAGGTGATTAACTCAGAGTCTGGTTCGAGGGACGACGGTTGTCAGGAATCTTTTTGTCGGATTACCTAATATCTAAATGATGTGTTATCAATTTAAGCCTATTTCTTCCACACATATATACAAAATCATTTTACTTAAAATGTTATATATACTTTTGTGAAAACCTTTATTTAAATTATAAATAGTGAGCATGAATATAAGTATTTCAAAATCTTTGGTACAAAAGTCAATATATGACCCCATTTGTGGAATATTAAAAAACATGATTCAAATCATTAGTTATGAATCTGCTACTTCATACGGAGTATAATTTTTGTCTTTTACTTCGTATTATAATAATAGTGACACAGACATATATTAATATATACAGTAAAATAATGCTGTGAGGAGATGGTGAATGAAGGGTGGAATTGCGTGGCTTACCTAAGATATGGGTAGCCATGTCACGGAAGCGGAGAAGCCGCCGCCCGTTTTGGGCATTCCGCTCTAGAACAAGTGACATCAGGTTGTAGTTGTAAAAGGTCACGACGGCGCCGACGACTAGGCAGCTGATTCCGGCCGCCCATCCCAGGAACGCGAACGCGAACGGCAGGCTCAGAAGCGGCGGCGCCACCACCGACGTCGTCAAGTGGTACCCACAGTGCCACCATGATCCTGCATGCATTATATTTATATCCCCACCCCATCGTCGAAAGTAAGTAACTAATTAGGATTTAATATAATCAAGGAATTTTATCAATTCAAGATTCAAAATCAATTATTGGATCAGCTCATCAGCCGCCACCGTCCATTTGCCCTTTCATATCATTCAATTCATTTCTTTTTACTTTTAAAGTTTTATCATTTCCTCAATTTGTTTCAAAACTTATGAAACACGGAAACTCGGGAGAAACTGCTTTTTTGAGAAACTTTACAAAAACGTTTTAAAAGTCTTACGTGATTCTATCAACAACAAAAAAAAGTCTTACGTGATCAATTGTTTTTTGAAAAAATTAAAAGATACTTCCTCCGTCCCAAAATTAACTTCTCAGTTTGACTTCACACAGATTAAGAAAATAAATTTGACTTTACTGTGGAGTGCACTATTTTGCACTATTTAGACACTGTTTGGACACTGTTTGACACTTTTTTATGTAGATTATTTGCCAAATAAGGAAAGTTTTGAAGTGTGAAGTTAATTTCGGGACTGCCCGAAAAGGAAAGTGAGAAGTTAATTTTGAGACGGAGGGAGTAACATTTTGTCGTTTTCTTATAATTCCCAGGTATCCGCGAAATATAGTTCAAAACTAATAATAGGACAAACTCTTGTTATTTAAGTTAAATAGTTTTGTGTTTTGTAAAAGCTGGCGTTGCATTTCATTAATTCAAGAAGCATCAATTAAGAGATTAAAATCCTCCAGACAGAGAGAAATAAATCATCAAACTAATAAATAAATCAATAAATAAATAAATAAATAAATGCAGGCTGGAACCTTTGGATTTGAGGACAAAGAGGGCACCAGCATCAAGCTCCTTCTGAGCTTCTTGATCATCTGTTTGTGGATGCTCAACATTGGCTTTGGAGTCAACAGGATCAACCACCCTCCCCATTTAATCTCCTCTCTTCCAATGTGACTATTTATAGCTCAATATATAAACAAACACACACACTGTTCAAACAAAAAGTGGAGTATAAAAATAACTAATTTACAATATGAAAACAGTAACAAAAACAAGTGACAAAAGTATGTTAGGACATATACAAAATGCCGATATGTATATTACAAAATTACACCAAAATAGAAAATAAAATGTAGACCAGATAAGTTAAACAAATGTGATGGCAGTTTTTAAGAAATAATTACATATATTTGACTAATATAAAGATTATTTAAAAAATGTGACTAGTGACTAAAGGAATAATGAAATCATAATACTTTATGATCAATTTTTTAAACTTAAGCTACCATGATACTACATTGTACTCCCTCCGTCCCATTAGAAGGTAGTTCTCACTTTCCTTTTTTGGACATTCCATATAAAGGTTCTCATTTCCATTTTAGGAAACAATTAACAAACTTAATAATACACAATATAATTATCAATACTAACTACTTGTACATTATAATATATACATATTAAAATTATATCTCAAAATGTACTCGAAGTACTTTATTTAATTATTGTCTAAATAACCGTGCCGTTTTACTATGGGAACCTTCCAACGGGACGAAGGCAGTGGTACAGTAACTATAACTCATATTTGTGTAATTTTTGTTTTAGTAATATTTTTGAAATATATCCACTTTTTAAACACCCACGATTCCACTTTTATTGTTTTATACGATAGTATATACTCGGTGCCTTGTGTCACAAACGTTGCATATTATAGTTATTTTTTTGAGGAAAGTTGCATATTATAGTTTAAAATTAAATTTTTGCCACTATTTCTTTAAACGAAAAACTAATTCGGAAGGCTGTTACGAGATCAGCCCATTAATATCAGTGGTTCACCCGTCAAGACTGTGTTGGATGTCTCTTAGCTTGGCTGTCACCACCACCGACCTGTGTGAGTTACTCTTAATACGGACAGATCAGTTATTCCTTAGACGGGACGAGCATCTGCAGGAGGATTGTTCCATCCCACGATGCTGGTGGTTGTTACTTGGCAGCTTATAGCATGGAACTTTGAAATATGCTCGATCACCAACGCTAAATTGAGAGCTGCTATAACATGGTTACAGTGCTTGGGAGAAAGGGTATAGGATGATACGAGTGCAACTGAATTTGCAAGCTGCAATTCAGCTTCTAGTGGGGGCTAGTGAGATCACACACTAGCACTCTTCTGAGATTGCTGGTTTCCGAGAGCTGTTTGATCAAGATTAATTAGATGGTTAAGGTTGAGCACATTTATCGAGAAGGCAATCGGACTGCTCACTATTTAGTTGGTCTTAGTCATATTATATTTTATCACTTAGTGTACATTATTATATTTCTACTAGCTAGTGGTCCTACTTTATTGTTTCATTTAATGTATGAAATTCTTGCGATTTCCCGATCTCGTTTGATTATAAGCGAGAAATATGTGTTCTTGAGTCAGAGCTTACCAAAAAACATTAATCGAATCCATCAGTTTTTATGTGAGGAAAGGTCTAAACGTTTTTTCATAAACGTTTTTATGTGAGTAAATCCTATTGATTATACGTCATTAAATAAAATGATCCGATTGCACTTCATAATATTATTGAGTCAACGGAGGCTCTTTTTTATGAGAGTTTTGTTAAGGCAAAGACTTCTGAAATGAAATAGAATAAATAGGGTAGAAAAGACAAATTTTAATAATATGGCCCCGATTTTCAATTACACTTGAATAATTGAATTAGGAGTCAAGAAAGGCGGTTAGTTGTGACTCAAATAGAGTATTATTAGTGTAGTGAAGAACAGTAGGTAGTAATTACCTCTTATACATCTTGACTAACATACAAAGGTAACTAAATTACTATAATAATGTCAATCTATATCATAGTGAATTGATATTAAATTCATTGGTAACTAAGTTTAGTCTAATTTTTGTTCAAGAATTCAATTTCACTAATGTTTTAGAAAAACCCCTCTTAAAAGTAACACAACGCTCCAAGACAATTGTTTACCCTAAAATTTCAATTAAAATTTCAAGTTATTAAAGGGCGTAAATCATCAAAAAAAAAAATCTTCAAATTACTTTCAGACCCTTTATGAAGTTGATGATTTTATTTACATTACACATTCCTAAACTCTTGGCTCAGTTCCTGAAATTTTCACTTGTATTCGATCATGACACATCTATGCTTTGTTGACCTTTTATATTATCCTTTCTCCATTGGAATTGATTGCACAAGACACTACCTTATTACTTGATTTTCTTTATTCCTCTCGTGTTTTACCTACCACACTTGCACATACATATCTTACATCCATATCACCATATGTATCAAACTATCAAAGATTTGTCAATTATTATCTTTTCTAGTGATATTAAATTTCTTTAATTTGTCAGTTTTGTTAATATAATTATTACGTAGTACATTTTTTTGAAGTTTGAATACATGATAAATACTCCCTCAAATAAAATTAAAATAACACAAATTAGTAAAAAGGTGACAAAATTACTGAGTATGTATACCATCACAGATTCTGGTGTAAAGTTACGACAGAGTATTATAATTACTAGAGTATAAAAAATACTATCGTATCATTTTTGTCCACCGCTTTCATTTTAATTATATATTCACCATTAATTGTTTCATATTTGATTGAAATAAATTTTCTTCTTCGATCTGAATCCATCTACATGCACTAGATACATAATTTTTATTTGCTTGACTTTCATGCTAATCGAAGATTCTAAACCATTACAAGTCATGTTAGTATTTTCTTTTTTCCCCTGGATTTTGGGTATGTTTGGCACAACTAGCTAAAAAGATACTTTTACGAGCTTTTTAGTAACTGCTGGCTTTTAGTGACTGAAAAGATCTTAAAAAGAAAAGGTGATAACTGCTTGGTAAAAAGCTAACTGTTTGATTTAGTTCAGTTTGGTATACAAGCTGTTAGGAAAAATTAATATCAAAAGTCACGAGCTTTTCTCAGATACTACACCCGGTAGCATCTCAAAAAAAATCTTTTATTTTTGAAAAAATCTTACAAAATATATGTCAAACATACAATTAGAGTCTTTTAAAGTCTTTTTAAAGAATAGAGAAGCTAGAAGCTAGACCCTTTTGTGTGTCAAACATAGCCAATATATATATGCGTTGATGCCATAAAATTCAAAGTAGGACAAATAATGTTGAAGTGTAGAGTAATCCCAAGCCATATGCTGAATGGCTGATTATGACGGTGGAAATTTAAATGATGAGATACGTTCTCTACTTCTCTATTGTCATGCGGTTGTGTCTTCGCCCAATTTTTGCAAAAACTAAAAAAGAGTGAGTTTTAGCATTTGATTTTGAAATATTTGGAGTGTGTATTTTTAAGGGGTAGATTGGTAGCTTCTACTTAAATTACAACTTAAAACTTTAAGAATGTAAATAAATAAAATGATTTAAATTGCATTTCACGTTTCTATTGTATAAAAAGTATATACTATCATATATTTTTTAGCTAAACACTATTGTTGAGGTGTATTCATCCATGTCCAAGGGGCCAACACTTTCCCTTGAACTTTCGTTGGATACTTTGGTGAGTGGATATATTTTAGTGGATTAAGTGGTCTCTTTTATGACACAAGTATTAGCAAGAAAAGGAGAAAGGTAAGTGGGCCAGGTTCTATTGATTACTTAGAACGATTACAGCGCACCCTATCAAGCTGAACGATGAACGTCTATTCTAGAAATAGAGAAGGCTATAGCTAGAGAATACAAGTTGTCAAACGCTAACAATGAAATAAATGATATTATTAGTACTACCATGAGGTAGGTGGTAATGATCATGTGAATGATGTTGAGTGATTAATCCTTAACCATAACATCTTGCATATCTAGTGCATTAAATATGTTTCTTGTCAAAATCCTTATTTTCCCACCAACCAAAATCGTGCCTACTGGTTAAGAGCTCCATTGTTGTCAATGTAAAACATCCAAGGATATGGTGTCGCGCGGCGCCGGCCACCTGGATTGGGCCGAGCGACTTTGGGGTCTTTGGAGCTTTCTGGTTTCATTTCTCTATGGGGTTATTGGATCGGTTCCGGATTCAGCCAATTACCCCCAACAACTATCAAACAATAATTGATTAAGTGGACTTTTATATGGACACTAGACACACTACAAACTTTTATTAAATAATTTCCTTAAAATTACTTTAAAATTCACTTTGAAATTTGCATGAGCAGCCAAATAAATTATAGACTTGTCCCTTGGCATAGTCAATGGTCAATAGACAATAGGCCACCAAGATTACCTTTAGTACCGATTATATGAATATATAATTATATATGATCTAGATAAACGCTCCCATATTCATGGGTAGGGATGGACTCGGGTTTGTGCAGTCATTTTCGGGTCAAAACTGCCAGATCCAAAAAAAAATTGGTCAACACGGGATTAACCAGATACTTTTCGGGTCTTGACCGATTCCAGATATCTGGACAGTCCAGATTTGGAACCAAACTCGGACCGTTTTATTTTTTGAGTTTTATCTCGGATTCAAGCTTAAAAAAATTGGTCAAGCCAAAATCAGAATCGCCCGGTTCAATCAACAAATAGGTGAATCAAGATCGTGAACCGCTCTTGAGCGGACATGGCCGATCACAAGCCCGAAATCAGAATTCTGGTTCCAGTCCGATCATAAACCGTGGCAAACCCAATTCTGAACGGGGCCGGACCAGATCCCCTAATTCAAGGATGACAATTTAATATTAACAGAAAGATTATGTTATTTTAAGATTTTATTTAAATAATCTTTCTGAGAAAACCTAAATCGTTATTTTATTCCTTTCCCGATTTATTCAAGGACCCAAGAATCCAAGATCCTTCGTTTTGAATTCCCCAGCCAAGAGGGCATTCAATTTATATATGGGATATTTTGACATACAGTTACAAACTAATTAGAGATCGTTTGGTAACACTGTTTTTC